TCTCATTTCTGAGAAAAAATACAAAAACTGCAATGTAAGAGTTTTTTTTTTTTTTTAACGTTGGGAAATGCATTTACGCACGACGTGTGGGACTCACCGGCGTAATACAGCCAGTACTACCCACTAAAACCCAACAAAACCTTCCCCCGTCTTAATGGGGCGTCGCAGGATCGCTTACGCATTCAACTACGACGCCCCGACGGCAGGTCTGCCGAAGCAGATCACCACAATTATGGGGTTGCTCCACAGTCCACTCTGCTATCAGAGAAGTACCAGGAGCAACCCGCATGGTACACCGCCCCCCGAAGAGGGCCACCTCCCACCGCCCACCGAAGTGGGCAACCTCCCTGTACGTTTCTTAGCTTCGCGCCCGGTTGGATTGCCGGGCACTACTGAGCCCCCCCACCACGACAAGGTGAACGCACGTTGGGGGGGAATGTAAGAGTATACTAATATGTAAAATCTATTTTGTATAATAATAAAATATTCACTATTTTCCTATAATAAAATAATCAATTAGAGTTTTATAAGTCGTGGATTTGATAATAATAATACAAGCGCTAGTCTATATTTCATTTTATTCAATATTTAAATTAATTTATTTTCAAAAAAGTAATTATTCACAATTTTCATAATCGTTCTCCCTGTATATTGGCATGCATTAGAAGCAAAGCGTCTGATGATTGAAGCCAAATTATTTGTCAATACTCCGCAAACAATACCTTCATTAATATTCCAAAAAGGAATCATAAAAATAACCGAAGCAATGAAAATTTAAAGATTACAATATTTTAGAATACTTTCGTAAACTTTAGACAGTCGATTACAAATTAACTTGTTGTGTTAACTCGAAAATTTGTAAACGTATGTACTTATATAATTCAGTGGACAATACAATAATTTGGTAGCTATTTATACGACATTAGCGCCTTACCTTCGCTTCGCTCGAGTGCACCCCTAGGTATGTTTTAAATAGATATAAATAGCTATTGCCAGCGTTGGCCATGTAAATTGTTCGTTGGCCATGTAAAATTTTTTTGTGTTTTTTTTTCTGAAGTTTTATAGTTATTCTGCTATTCGGAGTGGAGACAAATCCAACAAATCAAAGATCACAAAAATCGGTCCAGCCATTCTTGAGATATAAATGATGTATCTATACCGACTATGTTTTATATATAATGACAGTATTGCCCGCGGCTCCACCCGCGTTCTGATGACCAAAAACCAAATTTTTAGGTTTTACATAATATACTCTTACAATGCAGTTTTTGTATTTTTTCTAGAAATGAGATATTTTACCGCGGTAATAAGTATCCTATATGATGACCCGAATAACCAGCTATCACCATACCAAATTTCATCAAAATCCCTCCAGTGGTTTTTCTGTGATGCGGTAACAGATAGACAGACAAACAAAAATTCTAAAAACTATGTTTCGGCTTCTGTATCAATAATAATGTTTATTGCAATAAGATTTTCCAAAAAATATTTAATGTACAGATTCGGCTTAGTTACTATTTTATTATAGTATAGATAGAGAAAAATACCCTTTATTTACGTGAAATTACCTATGAAATCAAGTAGCCGATCTAGAGCTATGAATATAATTTGCACATGTGTCATATATGCACAATATACCAAGTTAATAGAAACTCGAGTTAATTAGTGCTCCTTGAGGTATCAAACCAACTGAATAATAGGCTTCAGAATTGATGTATGTGCTTGTCAATCTCTAGAATGATCAGATAGTAAATTCACTTTAGGCTAAATTAAAGTTATCACTAAAACGCCAAAATGTTATCATATTATCTCACATTTAAAACAAAGCCCCATTTATGTCTGGCCCTTTATACATACAGCAATTAGTCTTTTAATTAAATAATGCAATATATTATGTTGATGTATCGACACTTTTCCTATTTTTATATATTTATAGAAATCTTATTTACACATAGTGTTGCTTTAAATATTGTTACAAAGAAAAAAACATTTTTTCTAACCCACGTAACATTTATTACTATTACAGTGTGTTAGTTTAATACATTAATATAAAACCATTAAAATATATAAAGCTTATTCGAAGTGGTCTCCATTGGCTACAATACAGATCTTTAAATTTTGAGGCCAGTTATCAATAGAAGCACGTAGGTACTCTTTCCATGGAAAAATTATTCACTGCCAATCGTATGGATTGTTTTAGGGACTCCAAATTATCATGACATTTAAAGAAAACTCTAAAACTGACCATAAATCATAATCTAGCGGATGATTATTATGGGGACTAGATGACGGCAAGTCTTCAGCTCTGATGAAATCCGAAACGTGGGTTTCTAACCAAGATTGCGTGGATTGAGCTTTATGTTCGTACCATGAAAGTACCATTCTTGGTTATTGAATATGGTGTTGTTAAAGGCCTTAACTACCTTCTCAAAAATCGTATCTTGATACACTTATGCCGATGTTTTGATACCTATTTCCAATATGGCTCAGTCACTCCTTCAACGCTAAAACCCCACCAAACCATTACTGAAGTCGGATAATGTCCATGTTGTACTCTGTTAACTAATTGGGAAGCTTCCTTAGAGCTTTGAGCATAAATACGGTCATTTCGTTTGTTAAAATATTGCTCAATTGTAAAACTTTTCACACCCGTAAACATTTTTTTTCCGTGACCTCCCTTTGCGTACCACTTAAGTTAAGTCTTTATTTTTCAAATAAGATAAATAACATTATTATATACATATGTAGATATTATAAAGAATTCGAAATACCTGCAATAAGGCACGATATTTCTAGATTCAGTTAGGATCTGAACACCGCGAATCATATTAAAAATACCTGCATTTTCTGTTCTTTATATAAGTTGATAACTTCGTTTAGAAATAGACATGACTTTTAAATAAAAATGTTCCATGAAAGCTCCTGTAGTAAAAAGTATTTACAGTTTCTAGAAAAAACATTATACAAATTTCTTAGGATAAATAAGATCCTTAATCCTTAGGTACTATTAGAGTATTTGTGTATCAAAGCAATGTTTATTTAAACTGATAACGGAATAAAAATAAATTCGTTATGAATCAACATATCATTAGTGTAGAAGAAAACGTAGATCGTTATCGTTACTACATAACTTGTCATAACTCTTTACATTTGGCAATCGTCGAGCATTGACTCATTAATCGTTAATATGTTAGTAAATAGAGGACACAGAAGCATTCCGATGTAAGTACTAGCAATTAATAGAAATTACACAAGAACAACAAGGGCCACAGTGAAATTGTATGAAATAATAATAGCTATTAAATTTTGTTGAATAGTGATGAGTATGAACGTTATATATAAAAATCTAGCTAATTTTCTGCCGATAGAGTAAGTGTAGATGTTTTATACCAATAATTTATAGTTATAGCAGCTTTATTATCTTTATGTACCTATATAAATAAAATTCAATGGTTAAATGTGTTGCTAAGTGCCAAACTCGAGAATGGCTGGACCAAATCGGCTAATTTTTTTTTTCAAATCCTAAGAAGGTTCTTATGAAGAAAAAAATTGGAAAACTTTCACGGAAAAACGAAAAATTCATTTTTTTCTTTTTCCTTACTAATAATTTATAATTGAACGCATCCTTAAAATTGATATAAACTATGTACTTGAATGCATGTAGGATTAACTCAACACTTTCTCTATCTATGGATATATAGTTTGACTTTGTTTGTTTCGTTCTTTCTTTCTTTGTTTGCTTTTTTTTTTGTTTGTTGTTGTCTATGTAATACATTAATCACTGGGACTAACCATCAACCTTTAACTCTTAGTACTAATTATGAAAGAATTATAAAAAGAATTGCTTTTCCTTACTATTTGTTATAAATTTTCTATTTAAAATCCACTAATTAAATGAAGAAAACAAAAAAAATAAGTGATGTTTACACCTATGATGTTGATACTTGATGTTTACACTTAGTCAAAATGTATTTCTGTTTCGACGTTTTGGCCTTTTTATGGCACAGTTGCGTAAGATTGAATTAAGATATACTTACATACGTACTTACGCCTTAATTCATAAAATTTACGAGTACATTTATATTCAGATAAAATCCATCTTGTTGAAAACCTATCTTGGCACGAAATCATTAATAAGAAGTCAGAGTATCACTACACACTACACTTGTTCTATATCCGCATTTTATAAGAAAAAAAACAATGATAAGAAGATTTACTCAAAACATAATATAAATAGTTTGAAAAAGTTTCATAATTTCATAAAAGCCTGTAATGACTATCTTATTAATTATTAATTATTGCTAGTGCTATTAAGCACAAAAAATAATAATATTTATTGTAATTATTCATTTGAATTTTTCAGTCATAATTAGAATAAGAATCGTTACCATAGTATAATCATTATTATTTTATATTTTTACATTATCTATACATATAATAAAATTGTAACTAAGCCGAATCTGTACATTAAATATTTTTTAGAAAATCTTATTGAAATAGACATTATTATCGATACAGAAGCCGAATCTATAGTTTTTAGAATTTTTGTCTGTCTGTCTGTCTGTTACCGCATCACAGATCAACCACTGGAGGGATTTTGATTTTTGGTGGTAGGGAAATTTGGTATGGTAATAGCTGGTTATCCGAGTCAACATATAGGATACTTTTTACCGCGGGAAAATATCTCATTTCTGAGAAAAATACAAAAACTGCAATGTAAGAGTATACTAATATGTAAAACCTAAGAATTTGGTTTTTGTTCATCTGAACGCGGGTGGAGCCGCGGGCAATGCTAGTTTATTATAAAAGTAAAAAAAAGTGAACAATCAAGAACCGAGAGTTTTATAATTTTTAATTTTTCAGTTTAATTGCACGCCCCACGAGGATGTCTGGCTGGATTTTAACGGGAACTTAATTATTATTAATGATTAATTAAACATCAGTAACCTTAGTCTGTGTGGCTGCCAGACAAAACGGACCATAGTTTAAAAAGACAAGAAATGTACACACGCGCGAAGCAGGTGGCAGTAGGTAAAAAATATGTTTTAATTTTACGTGTAAAACTATAATATGTGCCTTTATTAACGGCAACATATGATATAAAATATTATGTGTGCGTTATGGCTTACCACTAAGACCAATGAAATAATATTGTTATAATTAAAAGAGTATTGATAAATGTACTACTCGCTACAAAAGTTGGCTTATTTCCATATACTTTTAAAATAATTCCCCAATTACACAGTTGTATATTAATTTGAGTTCATGCTTAAAAGCTTATGTGTCAATTGACAAGAATTTTACAAATTACACGTTTAGCTCATATACATCAAAGTGAAAACATAAATTGGCGAAGTAATTAGCCATGAAAATTTCGCAGTGCATGGTCAGTGTATTGACACAAAATCGTTGGCAGCCAATTCCACTAGCTTACGACAGCGTAAGGTGGGGTCAAAGGGAGATAAATTGAGTGGCTGCCGCGCCACCAGATTACGGCTGCATCAGTCGTTTGCGCTCACCCAAGCTCTTCACACGTTCCTCGATACTAGTTAGGTTCGTGATAGTGATAAGATTGTAGTGTTAATTTGGAATGAATCGGCGTTGATTTAAGCGATTATTTAAATAATTGCCAGTGATTTTTTGTCTCACAGTACTTCTGACAAGATGTGGGATGACGTTGTGGAAGAAGATAAGCCTGCGGAAGCCGCGCCGGCCGCCGAGCCAGCGGCGGTGAGTACTGAAGGAGCTCCAGCAGAGCAAACTGCAGCTGAAGTAGCGGAACCACCACCGCCAGAAGCCCCTGTTCGTGGTACTGAGCCCAGAAGACTAGTTTGCAAACATTGGGTCAGGTATAGATTTTATTTGATACGTTCTGAAGTTTAATTAGCTTTTAATTGATATTTCAATAATATTAACATATATTAAACAAATCATAATGTAATAATAAATTGTTATATGTAATACATACGTATATCAAACAATATAATAAACGCAAATATTGTATTAAATATTATAGTAGGTATAAATATAGTAAAACATAATATACAAAATATAATTTAAATAGATTTCTCGCTTGTATTAATCTAAATCTTAATAAAATCTAAGTGGTTCTTTTTTATTTCAGACCAAAATTCTTTCAGTATAATTATATTTACGACTATCAAAAAAATTACTATGATGATCTAATAAACTACCTGGATAAACGTAACCACGGAATACCCGTCGAGAGGCCTGTCCCGCAGACTTGGGGCGAGCGTGCCCTCCGAACCTATCTTTCAAAAGGCTACAGCTACAGCACCAAAAAGTACAGCAAGGACACGACTCTCCTGAATCACATCTCAGTCGGTGCCAAATTCCAGCGTGCCCACACAAAATCTCTTATCTCGAGGAAGTATTCCAAACTTGGAATTAACTCCGTATACCTATAGCTTCGCTCTAACACACGCTTTACGTTGCTCTGCGGACTTAGCTCAGATCTCCGATCGTGAACTATATGTCAATGTTACAGGATTTCGTTGTCGTGACCCGCACTACGCACTTTAGCTGCCCTACGGACACAATTTTTGCATTCAGAGCTATCCGCATTCCTCTGTCGATGTCATCTTATGTCTGCAACGAATAAACGTTAAGTTTTAATATTTGTTTTCATTTAACCATTGCTTGCGTCGAGATTTAACTGACATAGCTTTAGAAAAATTTAAAATACTCATAAGTAGTTCTGTCATATTGTTAAATTATATAATTCCATAATGCTAAGCGATTTAAAAACTATCTGAAAAAAATGCAAAGCGATGTCAACTTAACTTAAATTTTATAATAAATAAGCCTTAAATTTTCATAAACAAAATGAAATTTACCTAATGAATGATAATTGTAATATACTAATTTAAATCACCAATGACTTTTTTCTATTATTTGACAGAATCGCTTTAGTCAATATTTTTTGGAAGAAAACTTAGCAAACGAATTAATATAAATAGTAATTCACGTTAAGCTTATTCAATTATAGAATATAGTGCAAAAATGCAGTATTCCCTGCATCATTTCAGTGGGCTATTACTGTCTCCCTATAATAATTACCAAATTGCTGCCAATTAAATGCGGCAACCAACACCGAACAGATCTATCATCTGCTCGATAGCTATCATGAATATAATTACCGTTTAATCAATAAGTGTTATAAATTTTGTGCCATCAAAAGTACAATATACAAAAGTTTATCAAACAATCTAATGGAAGAAAGCATCAATTAATTAATAATAAAGGCTCTCTGATATGAAATAGCAAACTTTTACACGGCAACGTGCCTAAGCCGAGAGTATGACAACATGACGACAGAAAAGTTTCAATGTCGCAATATCTAAAATAACTTATCTTTGACAGTTCAGTGAATGTAATCATTTGGAGGCTGGCCAAAACGTTAGGCTACCTAGCAGGTAGAGCCGGCAATCAGCCAAATTGAACATAATTAAATGTTACAATGACCAAGGGAGCCTAGACTTCGACGAGTGTCACTAGTTCTACAGAAATAGACGGCCGTCTATTGGCCAATATGTGTCATCGATTGAAGACCTCAGTCTCGTACATTTTTAAATTCTAGCCTGTTTAATTGAAGAACCATTAAAATTATTAAATATATTTCAATTTGGTATTGTTAATCGTCATAGTAATTTTAATTGTTTTTATAAGAGTACAAAAACTATTGATATAATAATTTACGGAGTGGAGTACAACTCTCATAGATTTAACTTACACGATAAATTATTCCGTAGACATTTTTACAGCATTTTATCTTTCTTTTACAGTAAGAACATATTTATTATCAAAATAAGAAATAAATATAAATGATTACAATTTAATTCAATTAAGACTATATCTTATAGAACACGATTGATAGATTTCTACAGATCATTAAATTTATATCGTTGGCTATAACCGCAAAAGGACTTTGACCTCCTCCACAATGATGCATCGCATCAATAAATAGTGATAAATTACGCCGACCGTGTCATCTTCACATCAAATTGATAATGTCAATAATATCACGTTATATATCCAAAAGCAATTAATTTGCTTTGATCATTCTTAGATACTAAGACCGCAAACACAATCAACTATGATAGTCTAAAAATATATTTTACACTATAAAATTGAATAAAATTATCTCGGCATATTCCCTTTTCTTTGTCTTTCGAAAATTTGCTACGTTCTTTCACACATGCAGGTTTCCTCACGATGTTTTCGTTCACCGCAAGGCAAGTGGTAATCATGTTAGAAATGATTCGTACATGAAAATATCAGAGGTGCCAGACTCGGGATTTGAACCTGCTTCACTCGGTTTCCCAAGCGAGCGAGTTAACGTATGTGTCTGTACAATAAAAATACACCTCATTTATTTATCCTTAGCTTTTAATATTTTGGGATAGAGTTGAAATACCCTTCAAGCAGTGTTTGAATTATGTTCTTCACTTACCTACATAACAATATACTTATTTATAATACTGATATTTTCGAGGAATTCATAATTAAATTTTATGTAATGTATTTTTATGTAACCTTTAACTTATTTTACAGTGAAATTGCGACGACAACGAACATTAATCTATTTCTATAATTCTTGTTATAATAATTAAAATATTCTGTAATAATAATAATAACTGCAATTTATTTATAAATATTTAAAAAAATAATTTGTTAAAATATCTTTATATTTTTTCATTATTATTAAAATTTAAATAATTAGAATTTTAAGAACTAAACTTAATAAACGAATAAACAAGGCCTCATACGTATATACTCGTAGATATTATTTCCGTGTTTCTTGTTGAGATTCCAAAATGGTTTTTCCTTTAACTGCTGACTTATTTATAGTTAACGATGTATGTATATATGTATTGTATATAATCTTTTTAAATATAACTAGCGACTCACCCTCGCTTCGCTCGGGTCCGTCCCATGGGCCGTTTTAATGGATAAAGATAGACTACGAGTATATATTAATATATTTATTATTTATATGCATAATATATGATAATTTATATACATTAATGATAGATTCCCCATATAAATAGTTATTGCGTTTGTAACTTAGGAGATAGCCATAATATTGCACACTTTTCTGTAGGCCTTTTCAAGACCTACAATTTTCTCGGACGTTGTATTGATGTATCTGTTAAGGTTAAGCCAGCGCAATCCATTCCAAGCGATAGAACCAGTAGCTATTGTGTTTTCCCGTAGGAAGAAAGGTTTTCCTGTAGTAAAAGGTATCCTAAATGTTGACCCGAGAAATAAGTGATCACTGCACAAAATGGAGTTAAAATCAGTTCAGTACTTTTTGCGTAAAAAGCGCACATCGATTTCGCTAAGTTACGGTCCTTCTTATATTTTTGACTAGTTCCATTTTCTCCTTATAAAAGAAAAAAAATTTTTCATAACGGTCAAGCTTCGACATTTAGAAATTTTGCACTTATAGGCAGATTTCTGCAAGAAAATGTGTGAAAGTGATTACGTGGTCATGAACGATATTAACCAGAGTAGAAATAAAGGCATAATATATATAACATAAAACATTCTCTCTTTATTCCGTGATATTAACATACAATGTCTCCGAATAGTACCTTGACACAAATTCTACATAGATATTATATTATATTCTAACGATATAATATTTTGTTGCGTTAGCAAGAACTTTTTTTGCTATCAAGCTCTAGCAAATGCCCAGAGTGGCAAAAAGGAAGGTGGAAAATTGAAGGCGCCGGACGGTTGCACAGAGGTCTTAATTTTCTCTCTAGGAGAGAAAAATCTTTTAAAAAATTACCATGCTTGGATGATGGGATATTTTCCCGCATTAAAAAGTATCCTATATGTTGACCTGGATAACCAGCTAACATCATACCAAATTTCATCAAAATCCCTCCATTGGCTTTTCCGTGATGCGGTAACAGACAGACAAACAGACTAAAATTCTAAAAACTATAGATTCGGCCTCTGTATCGATAATAATGTCTATTTCAATAAGATTTTTCAAAAAATATTTAATGTACAGATTCGGCTTAGTTACAATTTTATTATATGTATAGATTTCCGCCCCATTAGTAAATTATAGTGTACCTGTAGTCATGGAAAATGTTACTAAATGATATTAACTTAAAGTGTTTTATCTATATATGCGAAATATATGCCAAGTGTCAAGTCTACGACTTCTATTCTTAAAAAAAGTGGCTTAACTTAATAATTGATGAGGAGAGATTATGAGAAGAGTGGTGTGATGACTGGTACTTAGGACCTACCTAATTATTTTTTAGTTTTGAAGTAAAACTTCTTTACGCACGCTTGACTTGGGGAGTAAGCTGGTGAATGCGTGACGAGAGCGTCACGAAAAGTGTGATCGGGCGAGGCGAACGTTTTTTTGCCATAGTCACCGTTGTTATTGTCTGACAAATGATATAATATTATATTCTTCTCATAAATAATATTCTATAAATATATGATTGTAATATGCCTAATATGCGTTATTTAATTATTTTTATTAAAATTTATCATTCCTTTAACAGAGAGTTGTGACATACGGGATGAAATCTTTACCTATTTTTTTTTGTTTTGTTATGCCAAAGAAATATAACTACGTACGTGCGTACGTACATAAATACACACATTTTTTAATATCTCACCTAACCTAATTATTTAAAACATAATTTGAATTTCATAAAGAGTACCGATAACCTACAGAAGTTTTAATTCTTGCGTGTGTACACATTGATACACGCACTCTTTAATTTTTTAGTTCATTATCTACATCAATATTATCTTTCTTTTCAATAAAACCGTTTAACTTAAAAAAAACCCCTTGTTTTATTTTCAAGATTTTAGTATTTCTTTTTATTTTAAACTGTCTATACTTCTTGATTATTATTATTCTTGATACCCATATTGTGGGGGATTGTAAAAAAATATGTTATCCACCATTTTGTGGCGGCTATTATTATCAGTTCTATGTACGTTTTTAGAAAGTAATTTGTCCCCTCAAGACGTTTTACAATTTGTGATAGTTTTAAGATTTGATCCAAATATTAGTATTGCGCTCAGGATTATTTTAACTTTAACATTAACAGTTGCAAGTGGTGAAAGAAGCTTCTATAAGTGGGGCCCGATCTAGCCTTTTAGCCGCCCCGGGCAAAATAATATTCGCCGCCCTTAACACTTAACACTTTTTAAATAAAACTATCTTTTCGGATTTTTTTCGCGGATTTATTTTGATTTTTTGGTTTCCTAAATTGAAATCATAGCCAATCCAGATGTTCTATTCCATGTCATGAGGGATAGCAGATAATTTGTAATTATTTTTAATTTTGAAAAACATAATAATAGCAACCAAAAATAAAAATAATAATATTCAATGTGTTTTTTTTTATAAAAATACTTATAA